CTTTCTGTGAAGAGATATATTACTCCCAACTCTGATATTTAACAGTTACTTATCTTAGAGGTCGATCGATGTTTTAATTATTCTTTGCTTTATTTATTTATTGATTAACAATGATTGCACTTTGCCCACTCCACAAAAATCTCATGAAATTTACCACTCCATTTCCCCTTCCTACATAAAGTTTTTGAGGACTCATTGAGCTTGGTGCACAAATCTGATGTGCAAGTCAGATGACCCTGCTTGAGAGTTTGTGCAGGCTGTAAATTATATTGTCAAGTCTAGCTCTCTTGTGAATTTGGTTCCCTGAGGACAGAAAGCAAGTTTCTTAAGTAAGAGAGAGAACTACAAAAGAGAGTTGAATCTAGCTGAGAGGAGGCAAGTGATCCTAAATCCCTTATTGAAGTTGTATTGTAGTTAAAGGTAACTGAATAGATTTTAATGTCATCACAATTAGCATAGTTAGGACTAAATGCTCTCTGTAAATGTATAACAATGATCAAATGTCTTAAAATACATTTCTTTATTATTCTGCTGAGGAATTAATCCAGTGCGCGGGCCTGTTATCAATAATTTTTTTTTTCCCCCAGAGCAACAGTTTTTTCAAGAGCTTGTTTATAAAAGAAAAGAATACAAAAAAATAATCGGAAAATATAATTAATAAACAAAGAAAAAAGAACAAAGCATGTATTACAAAAAAAAAAAAAAATCGAAATACAGAAAGTAAAAAAGTAGTTATCACAATATAGTTTAATTTCATAATTCTCATTGAAAAACTGAAGAAACTGTCTCATCGCTAAGTTCAATTATTAAGTTTCTAAGCAATTTCTTTGAATTTTTACAGAGTTTGTGGTATTTTTGAGTTCACTACTCAGTAAATTAAAAATCCTATAACTAATATAAGTATGGTTACGTCGACTGATTTCTTTCCAAATATTTGGCGGTACTAATAACTTGTTTCTCTTATTATTTTTACATAGTGATATATATATTTCTGTTTAAGATAGTGAAAATTCTTCAAAAGAGATTTTTCTAAGAAAAATTTCCTTATAGAGACAAGTCTATACATTTTAAAAAGTAATTCAGAGGAATATAATTTGGTATTTCTATAAACAATTTTAAGTACAACTTTTGAACATCTTGTAGCATTTTAATTGCGTTATAATACGCACCACCCCATGTTATAATTCCATAAGTCGCAGTATTCCAAAATAACGCATAATACATTATTAACAATTGTTTTTCACTAAAAATACTCCGCAATTTATAAAACACATAAATTAAATAACAGACTTTATTTGTGACTTGTGTGATATGTTGTTTCCACTTCAAATTTGAGTCAACACATATTCCAAGATATTTGGCTGAATTCACTCGTGTCAGAAATGGACAATCATATATATCACTATTAATATCACACGAACTAGTATGTAACTGTAGCTCGATATTTGAAGGTATGCTGTCAACATAACTACCATAGGTTATGGTTTAAAACAGTTTTTTGTATATTTTAGGTTAGGAAATTTACACTGAACCATTTCGCTATTGATTCAATTTAGCTTGTGCAAAATCCTTTACTTCAGACCAAGTTTTAGCTTCAACAATTAGCTTAGTGTTATCAGCGAGAAAAGACACAATTTCACCCTTTGGTAGAATATCAAAAAAATCATTAATATATAATATGAAAAATATAGGACCGAGAATGGTTCCTTGAGGAACTCCACAAGTTACATTTAACTTGTCACTGATGATATTATTGATTTTTACCACCTGCTTTCTCCCAGTAAGATAACTTTCAATTAATTTGTTGGCAATTCCTCTAAATCCATAGTTATACAACTTTTTCAACAGAATTTTGTGATTGACCGTATCAAAAGCCTTTGCTAAGTCCAAAAACACCGATAAACACGGAGTGTTTTTATCGATAGCAAGGCTCATTTGGTCAGTGACATATTTTAACGCATCTTCAGTACTCTTATTTTCCTGGAATCCAAATTGGTATTTATTTATAATATTATGCTTATTTACAAAATTTATTATTCTTATTTTAAGAAATTTCTCAAAAATGTTTACAAAATTGGATACCAGTGATATGGGTCTATAATTCGTAGCTTTTTCTGGATTTCCAGATTAAAAATGGGTACAATTTCTGCTTTTTTTAAGATCAGGAAAAATTCCGTCCATAATACTCTTATTGATAATATGTATGAGCAGTTTAATTACATAAGGGGAAATTCTTTTTATAATTTGAATTGATATTTTATTGCTACCTGCCTTTTTGTTACTGTTCATACTTGTTATTATTGTCAGAATTTCTTCTTCATTGGTCGGTGTAAGGAAAATCGAGTCTCAAATCGTAGGCTCGTTATATCAAAGAATAAAAAAATAACAGATAAAAACCTTTTCACAAATTCTACAAGATTCCTGTGAAATAGTCCTATGTACTATCATATTAATAAAAAAATAATAAATTAGCCTTTACCATATTTTCAAAACACAGGAAGGTATTGATTAATTAATAAACATCAACAGTATCCTTTTATATATCAGACAGGTTGTTGACTAAAATAAAGAGATAAATAAATTAATTCTATTTTCAACGTTTGAATCTGTGGAAGGTTGCAAAATTCCTACATATCTGTGAAGAGTATGTGAAGTAAATAAAACCTATTAATAACTGGTGTTATTCAGTCATCCTTTAGACCTGGTACATTTTATTTGTTAATAAAAGTTTCAGGTTTATAAGGTTAAAATAATTCATAATCCTAATGTACTCTAGAAATGTTTCCCAGGTTCAGAGATTCTGACTATCTAATTTAAACAAAAATCATTAGTTTCAAATTCTTGAACACTCAGAAATATACAGAATTTACCTAAACATAACAACTTTGTATATAAGATGACTCTCTAATTTTAATGTGGGTTTCTGATAATTTTAAACTAATTTTTACAATTCAGTCAATTCTTACTACTCAGTCAAAATAAAGTCACAGTTTGTCTTATTACATGAATATTGAAATAGTCTGGTTGATGGTAAAGTGAAGCCTGAGCTATCAGTATTTTCTTGTTTCATATGATCATTGTCCTCATTGTGATTGCTTTTAACCATCTTTATCTTCACATATATCATTGTTTTTTTGTTTTTTTTCTTGTCCTCCTGATTTCTTTTTTAGCCCTTTCCTTCACTCTTCTCTCCCCCCCCCCCCTGAAACTTTTGATCATTAAATTTGCATAATTTGCTTTACATCTGAACCCACCTGAGAACATTCCATTGCATGTCACCAAAATTTATTTCTAGCACTTTTGTTCACCTCGACTTAATTAACAGCCATTGACTTACTATTTCCATTATTTAATTTTCACGGTATTGAGTGAGAGCTGCAGAATCATAAATCTGCCTACCTGTATTGCATATAAAGTGTGAGAAAGCAGCAAAGTTTTCAACATTTTAAAATATTTGTGCTAAGATTTTTTATATCATTTCATCCGTCTGTTTGGATGTTAACTTAAATCATTTGAATTTTTTCATTTTGATCTCTTGCAAATCACAGATTTGCATTCAGTTTTAGAGCATTCAACTGTGAATCCATGTTGCCCCTTCAATCGTGGAGCAAAATATCAGCAAAACATTTTATTCATTTTCACTGTGTGTTTCTCACTACAATACCATTCTCACTTTACAGCCGGTTCAAAACTATTGGTTTGAGTGATCCAGCAAATCAAGGATGGATGCCAAGACTCCAAAGTTGTTTGATAAGTAACTTGGTTTACATACTGAGAGATGACAACAATAACATCCATGTATATAAATTTAAAGCTTCAAGAATGTAGAGTAAAATTTCATTGTTTCAAGTCATTATCACACTAGCTCATTGTCAGGCAGCGACGTAAACACAAGTGTTTGCAAGTAATAGTAAAAGATGGATAGAATTGGAGTTTCTGGTGTTATCCAATTTTTTTTTAAGGAAGGTAAAACATGAAAGAAATCCATGAAAGAATAGCGTCTACATTGGGTCACTCCTGCCCTTCCTATGAGACTGTCAGGCTTTGGGTCAACAAATGTAAACGAGGCAGGACAAGTACCGAGACCTTCCTAAAACACCAGACACAGAAGTGATAATGTGAGAGTTGGTAGAGTCAAAAGGTATCTCAAATGACGGAGGGCTTTTCATTTTGTATTATGAATTTAGCAAGAGGAAGCTTTGTGCCCAATGAGTGCTGCGATTGCTGACTGCATTGATGAAATGAAAGCACATGCGAACTTTTGCTGAGTGTTTGTAGCTACTCAAGAAAAATGCAGCAGATACTGTACATCTGTTTTTTACTATTGATGAAATGTGGATTCACTATTAAACTCCAGGAAAAAAAGCTATAGTCAGAACAATGGACTGCAAGAGGAGAACCAGCTCCAGGAATTTAGCGTCTGCCTTTTCAGATGTTAAATGTATTCTTATTACAGACTAGTTCAAAAAGGGAAAAACCATTAATGGAGAATACGCATCCCTTCTAGACAAACTCAAGGAAGTTATCATGTATAAATGTCCTGGAAACTAATGGCAAGAAAAAACTTGCTGTTTTATCATGATTATGTACTAGGACATTCAAGTGGTTTTGCTCACCAAAAATTAACAGAACTTTGCTTTCAACTGCTTCCACATCCGCCCAATTCACCTGATTAGGTTCCCTCGGAATATCATTTGTTCCAAAATTAAAAACTTTTCTGGCTGGGCAGTGTAGGAAAAAAAACAATTAATACAATATTTTAACTACTGAGTAACTAGAGAATATGTTTTGAAACTATTTGTGTCTTTTAGGAAATATTTGTAAGTTTGAATTGTCAAAGGCGTAAATGTGGAATTGTTGTAAGTCAATATGTAAGAAAGAATTATAGAAAATAATTTTTACTGTTTTTCCAAATAAGTTGCATAATTCAGAATGGCAAAATGGAAAAAATTAACGTTATTAGACACAGGTCCAATTTTTTTTTATTAATCTGTTTCCAGACAAACAGTCAGAACTGATGAGTAGTGAAGAATCTACTTTGTACAGCCAAGCCATTCACTATGCCAATAGAATGGTATACTTATTGGTTCCTGTTGACTCCAGCTGTCGAAGTCATCGACCAGAAACAGGTCCATTTGATGAAGAGCGTGCCAGCAACAGCATAACAAACAGGTATTGTGTAGTTCAGAACATTCTCTGAATGATTTTGTTTTCAGAGAATGAGGAACCTAGTAATGAGCTTTTATGTACATTAATAAAAAATCCTGAATAGTTTTGTGGCAGTGTTTGAGGTAGAAATTTCATACGCATACACATGATGATATTTTTCTAAGTAAATTCTTATAACATTTGTTAGCAAAATACATAACAATGGGCGTGGAATCGAGCAGAATTTTAGTAGTAGCTGAATATATGATTATCATAAGAAGTATTAAGGGTGGATTTTACTTTAACAATCATTTAATCTTTTAGTTAAAATTAACATGGTAAGAGCTTATCCTTTTTAAATGTAATAGCGTTTCTTAATGAACAATAAATGAATGAATTAATGAATGAATGTGACATCAAAGTAAGAAAATTTTCACTTCACTCCATCTGGTAATGCACGTTCATTTGTGCCTTCAGCCCTGGACCAAAATTTAATTCAACATAGTGGGAATTATTCATAATTGGCAAAATTTTAAGAGAAAAATTTCTATTATACTTACATGAAAAATTATCATCATCATCATGAACTGACCAAAGAGTAGGCTTTACAGCCTGTTGCTATTGATCTGAATTTTCTTTTGTTTTAATGTCATGTCAAAAATATACCTATTCAGATGTTCAAAAATTCATCATTGTTCATTTTTGTTATTAGTGTTCATGATTAGTGATAGATCAGTATCAGTAAAATGATAAATTCTCAATTTCTTTTTGGAGTTTTTAATATTTTTTTTCTCTCAGTGTTGCAGAGAGTGATAGTGCTGATGCGGAGTCGGGGTTTGAGGAACAGGATCCTGGTGAGACAGGCACTGCAGTTGTGCGACTGGTCTCACGCTTCGTGGATAAGGTGTGCACAGAAGGTGGAGTCAGCTCAGAACACATACGAGCTCTGCATCAGATGGTTCCTGGGGTAGTGCATATGCATATTGAAACATTAGAAGCTGTCCATAGAGAGTCGAAGAGATTACCTCCCATACAGAAGGTATGTTTCTCATGCAAATGTAAGAAACATTTTTGTTGCATCAGGCTGAAATCGGTTATCTCCAATTTTAGTAATTTGAGATTTTTTGATGTGAAGTGTCAAAAAATAATTTTATAATGTTAACATAAATGAATCATAAGAAACATGAATATCATTGTTGAATATTCTTTTGGCAGAATATTGAAATAAAACCCTTGTATATTCAGAGGAACTCGTTAGCACAAAACTCTTCACCATCACAATACATCCAGAACCTGATATTGTTAAATTACTCGTTAATACATTTATTATTTAACAGTCTTGCTTATCATGTTTAACCATTGTCAGTAAAACGATCTGCTATTCAAGTGTTTCAGTTTAGCATTACAGACTTCAAAATACTTTAGGATACTTGGGTAGTAGACTAGTTACTTGAAGATGGGACCTGTTTGAGAGGTCGCAAAAGTAATTAATCTCATGTCAAATGATGACATTGCAAACTGAAGCCATCTACAAGTGAGACAATTCCTAACGAACAAGTTGATGAATTGAGTTCATGGGGATAATCTCTAGTTTTGTCCCTGGTAGAAGCCAAGCAGTAACTCTAAAGGGATCCATTATTAGAATAATCTTTTTGTACAAAAGGTTCTTCAGAGAATATTCAGGGTGTTTTCATTTCATGTGAAAGCGAACCCAGATTCAGAGGAATGTGTTGTATTGTATCTCTTTGATTTTTGTTGTGTGTTTTGATTTATGCTATGTTAAGACTCATTTCGTTATATTTCATGGACTGAGGATGTTAGTTTCTTCTATTAATTTGCTTTATTTTTACTGTTTGTGTATTATTTTTTATTTGTTTTCATTTTGTTGTAATTTAGAATTAATTAGTTTATCTTGTATGTACATTGTTCCTTACTTACATTTGAATTAGTTTCTCTTCCTATAGAGTTCTGAAGAAGTTAACATGAAAATGAAAAATTGAACATTTTTTGATAACACCCTTGTTGTTGCTTTGTTGATTGCTTCAATATTTGCTCATGAGTTCCCACTGTGTATCCGTATTGGGCTTCTAAATGGTCAACAAATGTAGATTGATTCTTCCATGGTTTTAGTGTGCCAATATTGATTAACTGGTTTAGACATGTCTAAATATAATTTAATAAATAATGTTAACATTTAGATGGTATAATTAAAATTAATAATACTAGACGTCTTGTTTTTATGAAAGTTTTCAAGTGATAATGTCGATAAAGATACTGACTCTGATAAACATGGAAGCAATTAATGAAATCAATGTCAACCATTGCGAATGATAAACAGTGATGAAAATGACAACAATTGAATAAAGAGTGACCCTTTATGAGAAATACTTATTGCGGCAAAAATAAATGAATGTACCTAGAACCATCGTTCTTTACACTGTATGTCCCCATTGAATAAAAATTAAACTCGGAGTCAACATGCAGAGAAAAATGAGGTTGTATTTAATTACTGTGTTATTAAATATTACTTTTAATTTCACAAAGTATAAATAAAGGAACATCGATATTATTTGATTTTCTTTGACATTGAGAATTATATTTTGTGTGTTCTAATATTAAAAGATTATTTGGGACCAATTTTCCAAATGCAGTTATGTCTCGTGTATAGTCAGTAGTATGTACTACTATCTACAATCATGATCTGAAGAGGTCTCTTTATTGATCCCAATCCAGCCCAAGATACTGACACCCAGCATGCTGCCTGGGGAGGAGGCTGTGTCAGAGGGTCTTCGGGTGTACTTGCTGCCTGATGGACGTGAGGAGGGTGCTGGAGGGACATTGGGAGGACCTCCCTTACTTCCTGCAGAGGGAGCCATCTTCCTCACTAACTACCGCATTGTGTTCAAGGGAACGCCCTGTGATCCATTCGGTTAGTAATTGTTAGAAGTTTTCATGAATGAATACATGAGAAAGGTTATGAACACTTTTTAATTAAAGTGATTTTCAATTTTTTTTTTTTTATTTTTATTTTTTTTACTGTTATTATACATTTTGATATGTTAACTTTTCATTTATGGAAGGGAAGTAATAAGAAAAATGTAATGATTTATACTAGTGGATTACAGAAGCATCTTGCTAATTGCGTTTGTGCTATTTTGAATTTAGTATTTCTCTTTGGAATGAAGGATAACAGCTAAAAAGAACCAGTAAATTTTCCTGTCTCAAGAATTTAAGATTAAGAGGTTTGAAATCATGTCTTTGTTATCTCACATTTTTTCCTTTTATTACGAGGAGATTATGGTATCTTTTAGCTTAATTATGCTTCCATTCTGTCTGTACAAAGCAACAGAATGATAGTACTCAGTCATTATTGATGAAAATGAACTCAGATTGATTTTTGCCATCACCCTTAAAATAAGACTGTTTTAAAATTCATCAGCACACTTGATTTTTTTTATTTTTTTTTGAGAGAAATAAAGATATAATCTAATTATTGATACTGATGAAGACATGTTATATAAACTGTATGAGAGAGCAATGTTTAAAATTTTACATTTCCCAACTTAACATTTTTAATTTTTCCTTGATATGCAGCATGTGAGCAGCTGGTTGTGCGCTCATTCCCTGTAACATCTCTTACTAAGGAGAAGCGAGTCACAGTGCAGTATCTTGCCCATCTTGACCAGTGGTTGCAAGAAGGTTTGCAACTTCGTTCCTGTACATTTCAGGTATGTTCATTATTCTGTTTATATTGTGGAATGTTGCTTTAATGTATTTTCTTACCTGGTGCTAGTTCTTCAGAAATGTAGGAAAATAAGCTTTTTACAATGATCATTCAGTAACGAGACATTGCTGCAGCTCTTTAGCGATTTATTTAATGATAACAATACTTTCTCTAAGTTTCAGTATAGTCTTCACACTCATACATTTGTCCCATCCTTCTAATTTGCATGTTTCTAGCTTAAAATTCCTTCAGTTGATCTTGAAGCTACTTGTGCACCACATCTTCAACTTTTTCGTTTGATGTAAAATGTTTTCCATGTAAGGCCTCTTTGAGGGCTCCAAACGGGTGGAAATCTAATGGAGGTGAGATTGGGTCTATAGGGGGACGTGGAAGAACCTCCCACCCCATTTTTTTAAAGTTCCTCTTTAGTTATGCATGCCATATGTGGACGCGCTGTATCATGAAGCAAAATGACACCTTCTGTCAACAGTCCTAGACGTTTTGTCTGAATGGCAGGCTTTATTTTATTTTATTTTATTTTTTTCAAGCATTTTACTATAATACTGGCTGTTGATAGTTTGTTGAGCACAATAAATAGGCTCTTGTTAATCCCAGAATATTGTAAGCTTGACTTTACCTGCAGACTCCTGATTCTTGAATTTCTTCTGAGTGGAAGAATTATTATGCTTCCATTGAAGTCTCTGATGTTTGGATTCAGGTTCATAATGATGGATCCATGTTTCATCACCTGTTACTATTCTTCTGAAAACTCTTCTTTTTCAATTAAACAATGTTCTTTCAATTATTGGCTGATTTGAAGCCAGATTTTGTTGCAAGCATCTGTAAGTTTTCTTGAAACCCATCTTGTGCAGGTTTTCTTGTACTGCATTGTTTCTAAATGATGTTGCGGGCAGTTCTTCAGCTATCAGTTTACCATTAATACACTTATTGTTGTGACTTAACAGTCAATGCGGGATTCGAGGCTGAAGATGCAACTTTGGCCAGTTGTCCACCTCGTTACTCATCAGACACGCCTTTATGGCCAGTTTTAAACTGGTCAACCCATTTATACACATTTTAACAGTTCAAACAATTACTATTGTACTCTTTTAGCATCCTGCCGAGAATTTCACAACCTTTGACTTCTTCTGAGACTGAAAATCTAACCACATCACCTTGTTCTTCCACAGTGCAAAGGTCAAGTGTACCTGCCATTGTTACCTGAACGATTTCCAGGTTATGTTTACAAGATGCTGTCAAACAGATGAACAAATACCATAATAAGGATGCCAACTGAAAATATTCTGAAAATATTGTATTGATTATTTGATCAGTTTTCAAGCAACAGCAATTTATCTCGTCAGTTATTGAATGACTGGAATATTTGCAGTTATAGTTGAGCATCTAAGAAACAATACTATACCTTTAACTTCCTTGTACATTTAGTATTACTTAAGTCCTGTTATTTATTAATTTAATTTATGGAAGCTTCAACAAACTGATGTACAATTATCAGTTACAAAATATTGATGTAGTTTGTATGTTATTATAAAATAAAAGGAAATATAAAATAAATTTCTTTTATATCACAGTTTGATGTAATTATAATAAATTAATAATCCGATGATCATACATATATGTACACAATACTCACATACATATACATGCATATATAAACTCAGTCGTTTGATAGTATTATCTAAACAGGATTTAAAAGATTCTTAAGTTCTCTTTTCAACACAATCTGCTGGGAGAGCATTCCATTGGTTTACAATATGATTGGTGATTATATGAGTTATTGGTCCAGATTTTGTTCTCTCCTTCAACAACTTTGCCGAATGTTCTTGTAGCCTAGGATCTGTAGCTGGTTTGAATAGTGTGTACACGTGTGAGATATTGTTCATCTTGTTCAATGATTTGTATGTTTCTATTATGTCAATTCTTTCTCTTCTTTTTCTAATGTCAGCAATGTTAGTTTCTCACATCTCTCGTAATATTGTAGATTTCTAACAGAAATTGAAATCCTATTTGCTATCCTCTGTGTTCTCTCCAGGTGTTTCTTGTCTTTTTCGAGATATGGAGACCACACTCACTGGTATGCTCAATTATCAGTCTTATGAATGTAGCAAACATTTTCTTTAATGCTGGGGAATTCAAGGCCGAGAAGGCCTTCCATATCAGATATAGAGCAGTGTTTGCTCTCTTAGTTAAGTTGACTTTCCCATTTAAGATTTTGTGTTACGACCACACCTAAATAGTTTTGTTGGTAGGTCTCTGCCTAGGTGTGTCCATTTATAGAGTATGGTAGTTTTGGATTATTTTTTCCAATGTATAGAGTCATATATTTGTTTGTATTCAGAGGAAGCAACCAAGTTTCAGACCAGTTTGCCACGCCATCAAGATCTTTTTGCAACATAGCATGATATGTCAAAGGATTGGCAAAAAGTTTAGTATCGTCAGCATAGCAATTCCAAGTTGAAGATAACTCATTTTCCAAGTCGCTGGTGTACAAGGTGCGTGAGAAAAGTAATGAGACTGGTAACACTGAATCTGGCAACGTAATCTAATGGCCTGTGCTAAACCGTTTTGTTTATCCCTTCCACATCCTCAGTCTGAGTTACCACTCCGTACAAATAACACATTATTTTTGACAGCGCCATCAGTGAAGTTTGTGTTGTGTTAGAGAAATGGAGCATCAGAATCTAGAGCAACGTTATGCTATAAAGTTTTGTGTTAAACTTGGTGAATCCATGAGTGTGACTTTTGAAAAGTTGAAACAGGCCTATGAGGAACATTGCTTATCAGGAGCACAAGTTTTTCGCTGGCACAAATCATTTTTGGAAGGTCGAGAACACGTTGAAGATGACCCTCGCTC